AGGCGGAGGCGGGCTCGGGGGAGGACGAGGGCGGTGGCGCGGAGCCGCTGTGGACTGCCGTGTTCGAGTACGAGGCGTGCGGCGAGGACGAGCTGAGCCTGCGGCCGGGCGACGTGGTGCAGGTGCTGTCCCGGGACTCGCACGTGTCCGGCGACGAGGGCTGGTGGACAGGCCAGATCGACCAGCGCGTCGGCATCTTCCCCAGTAACTACGTGAGCAGCAGCAGCCTCCACCGCCACGGCGCCGACCCGGAGCTTCGGCCCCGCTACCCGCCGCCCCCCGCCATCCAGCGTAAGGGGGCTGGGGGAGGGTCTCCCTCTACCCTGATCCCCCCCCCCCCACCTTGGCTCCTGGCTCGGGTGCCTCCAGTCACAGGGGTGATCTTGGGGTGACCTTAGGCTGGGACAGACCTCTTCTCCTCCTCCAGCTCCTGGGGGCATCGGAGCTGGGATTCGGCCTGTCGTTGGCACCCGGCAATGATCGCACTGGGGATCTCAGCGGTGCGGAGCCAGCGGGATAATTGGTGGCGGGTGCCACGGCTCCCGGGCTGCCTCCACTGCCACTTCCATCCCCGGAGCTGCTAGGCCGTCCCCACTGCCCCCTGCTTCTCACCTCACCTTTCTTCTTGCCCCAGGCACTCTGCTTCCTTCTCCGCCTCGTCCTCCAGTTCTGTCTCTTGTGTTGACAATGTTATAAATAGGTAGATGAGTAAAGGAAGAGCTTGCTTTGGTGGGAATAGCCTAGATTGCTACAGTGCCTGTGAATTAGCTTCAGTGTCCCTCAGCCTTTGCTCCGGCAACTTGTTTCAAGAACAGGATACGTTGATGTGTCATGAGTAAAGGCACAGGGCTTTGCAGGCCCCGGATCTTTACACACTTGGGTGTTTCTGCCAGCATGCCCCAAGTGGGGGAGCACTGGGAGCACACCAGTTAATTCATACTGGAAATGTCAGTACACTGTTAATGCTTGCTCCATAGGGTCTTTCATCCCACCTGACTGTAAAGGTGTTAACAGTGAAGTGTCTGTCTGTGCTGATTTGTGTTACCAACGTACTTTTTATCACTTGACATGCCTAAGATCAAATTCTGCCCTAAAAACCTAACACACTATTGTTGAAGTCAGTTGCTTGGGTCCAGTTATGTAAGGGCCCCTGCCTCATGGCCCTTTGGAAGCTCGTTGACTTGAATGGCACTTTGAAGGTGCTGGTATAGATCTCACTGCAGGTTTGTGGCCTTTATTGACTTTGTAGTGTAAAGCCATTTCAGCCTCTCTCAACCAATTAACTGCTGGCTCCAGCTGTGAAAAGCAAAATATTCCAGAATGTTGCTGCCAGGTCATGTGCCTGCTGTTCTCCCTGGCTTTTAGTTCATGGTCAGAAATCAAAGCTAGCAATAGAATGTTCTTTTTAAAAACCTACTTTTGGTTGAGGAAAGTCTTGCATGTGTGAGACTGTTCTGTAGAAAAGGAATAAGAGCTGTGTTGCATCTGCTATTATAGGCAGGCATGCACCTTCAAAGAGGATAACAAAATGACTTTCATTATGCCCATGTGTACCCAAAAGCACATACGCGGGATTAAATGCTGCTTCCTTTTGCCTATGGGAGAGTCCTGGCTTTATTAGCATGAAAGGACTAACACTGTTCAGATCCTGAAAGCTGAGTGACTCTGCTTTCATCTCCTGAGACACTGGCTTAGTCTTCTTGTCAAGGGTGGAGGAAAAACCATGCAGTAAGTAGTATGTTATGTGCGTTTGAGGGAGGTTCCAGAGAGAGAAGCCCTTTCCAGGTCCTAGAGCCATTTCTGCTTCTCAGAGGCTGCAGAAGTCCTGGTGTCCTAATTGCTGCCCCTCTTTTTTTTTTTTTTTTTAATGGAAATTTATATAGCAATGGATCTGCAACCCCTCTTCTCTTCCTGTGCATGCTGGTGCCCAGAGAGCTGTTGTGGAATATACTCCTTTCAGTAGCTCTGAATCCATCCATTTATATAACACCACTTCATTGCCATTGCTATCTGGAGTCTCTTTACACTTGCTGATGTTGGGCCAAGATTTGTTTCTGTGTATTAAATTTTTTTTATGCTGCAGTAGCTTACTACTAGGAAGTGATGCAATTTGATCAGGCTGCGTAGGATCATTTGTGAGAACAGTAGCTACCTTTGAATTAGGTTTGAAGGTTTACTGTGATAGAAGTTTTCCTTTAGACTCCTGTGTTAGAAGGTAATCATTTCCCCTTGGTGTTGCTGGCATTGTATAGGTATCCAGAGAGTTAATTATCTGGTTGCCTTTGTCCGTGTCTGTGCCACTTCCTTGCTGAGTTTGTGCCACAGAGGTTCTGGGCTCTTTGGGAACTCTGGGAAATGTTCTGTGATATTCTGTGTCCACTTATGTTGCTATGTGAATGATGAACTCTCCTGTGTTGGGAACATGGAGTGGCAACATTATCAATAGGCAAATAAGTAAAGAGAGCTTATTTTAGTTGGAATAGCTTGGACAGTAGTAGGCAGCATCCTCCACCACATGACCTTTGTGCTTCAATCTTAATTTGGAGAAACTGCCTAAAGAAGTGAGCCCAGAACCTGAACTATTCTTTCCCTTACTTTATGGTGTCATTCTTGATAGCTGTCAGCATAAGTGCTGGTTTCAGTCCTATGAACCATTATCCATTAGGAGTTGAACCAAGCAGTTGGTTTTACATAGGGTAATAAACATACATCAAGTGGTATAACTAGTCTGTCACTGTTTGTCTGGGCTGAGTTTAAACCAGTGACTTGCAGGCTCTATTATGTGTTACCAACGCCGGTAGGAATCAATATCCCTTTCATCAACTTCATTTTAATTTATTTCTATTTTAATTCTCTTACTGCCTTGGGAATTATATATGGTTAAAAGGTGCTAATGTTTCACTTCACTTTTACAGTTAGCTAGAATATATCTCCATCAAGCTAAATATTAAATTAAAAGTTATGTTAGTACCTCTAGCAAAGTTTCTTTCATGAGTAGCTTTTATTCACTTGTTCAGTGATGTGTGCTAATTAAGACCAACCCAGTGGTCTTTTTAAGTGTCATTGTGAAAGATGAACATCTAGTCAAACATGATTTTCCTTGTTTGGCTAATTTCTTCCAAAGGTTATCTCTGTTCTCAGAATGAAACATGATGCAAATGTGGCAGTTTCTGTCTTTTCATGCCCTTGCAGAGAATCTGTCAAACTCTAGATTTTTTTTTTTAATAGCTGCTGTCTGCCTCCTGTCCATAGTAGTGTCTTCTATCTTGCTTGTGTATTTTCGCTTTTTTTGGGTGTGTTATGTAGAATACATGGACTATGTAGAGTGTGGGTTTTTTGTTTTAAATAAAGGTAGAACTGTAGGAATTTTTTTCCTTCACTCCTGCTCTTGAGTCACTTATCAAATAAAATGCATTCCTTGAGGAGCTGTCCATTCAGCACCCATGGGTCAGAACCATCCCTTTTCATTGGAACGTAGGAGTATATGTTGGTATCCAAACTGCCTGATCGGTTTCTTTGACCAGTTAATATCAGAGCCAGTTTGAATGAATTATTCCTTTCTCCAGCTGTTTTTAACCCATCAACCAAATCACTTATGAAAAAATCCTACCATCAGTATCACCACTAGCACTTTCAGTAAGTTGAATTTTTGATTCTGTAAAGCTGATGTTATAGTACCATATCTACTGGTACTGTGTGTTTTAATTTGGTTTTCTCTCATTAAATTGGGCTATGGGAATGTTATGCCTTTCCTGGAATTTCAGTTGTAAAAAAGTGGTGGTAGAGGGCAACTATTCTGTTTTGGATTTTCTGCCAGGAAGAAGTGCCAGGGTAGTAGTGAGCTACTGCACGGCTATTAGAAGCGCATCTTGCATGCTTGTAATGATAACATAGGCCCTGATCAGTGTTTTTTTCCCCCTTGTTGTATGCTTGATTTAATTTAGAAGCGTCAGGATACAGAGCTATGGCTTTTTCACTTGCATGTAAATCAGTGCTAGAATATCACAGAGCCATTACCATTGCAGAACCATGATAACCTCTCTGTGATTATAAGAAAGACCCTGTAAACTCCAGTTTCCTAGTCCTGTTTTAAAGGGTTGCTAGGTAGAGATGGTCTACACAAGTGCTTTTCAATATCTGAGTGGCTGGGGGCCTTATGTCACATGGCAACTTCCCCCACTGATTCACCATGCCAGTGCTGCTGTGCCACATGATTCTTTCTGCCATGCTGCATGGTGGGCACCCTGTTGTACTGTGATGGTGCCCCCGTGCCATGTAAAGTCCCCCTGAGCCACCTTACCATAGGCTTCTTCAGCCCTACAGTGAGGCTTGTAGGGATGGTTGCAGGAAGCCTAAGCTGGAGGAGGAATAGGGACCCCAGAGACTCAAGTGGTAGCAGCTGCTGGAACAGTGGGGGAAGTGGCATCCAGACTAGGAGCTTGGGGCCACGGGGTACTTCCTTGGGGGCTGCATGTGGTCTGTGGGCAATCCTTGATCTACACCTTTGCAGTGATAGACAAATATAGCTTGGGCTTTCTCTTCAAGCCTTTATTTTTCTGGACTGTGAAGTATCCTTCCATCATCTTCTGGCAAAGTTGCAGGAAGCAAACTAGAAGGTTGCATGGGATGAGAAGGACAGTAGGAAGAAAATCTTGTATGCGTCTGAAATGTAGAGAGTTAGGAGCATTGTTTCTGGTGCATTGGCAGCATTTTGCTGAGGAAGTTTGCAGCATATTTGTATTATGGTTGCATCTAATCCATGTTTTGTTAATTAGTTTTTTGACAGACATAAGTCAAGCCAAACTGAAAACAAATCTAATTTCTAGGCTTTTAAAATTCTAGTTTCACTTGGTAGTCACTAAACTTAGAACTAACATGTGGAAGTGCTTGCAGTTATGGAAATCAGGGGAAGTTCTTACTAGCCTCATATGGTTGTGCTACTGCCTGAACTCCATCCAGCTTTGGGACCTTTTCAGGTAGGAACCTCTGTAAACAAAATTTTAGTTATGTTTTCTTTCCTCAAGTCCTCCTACCCCTCCACTCTGTGGTCAATTTTTTTTGAATTTAGTTTTGTGTGCCTAGCTGCTGCTGGACCAGCCTAGAATAACACAGGGGTGTGAATACATGCCCACTAAGAGCAGTTCTGCTTTCTTTTCTATAATGGATCTAAGGAAAAGGATTTGACTCAAATTAGTTAATGGCAAACTTGGTATTCCATTTGCTCCGAAGTTTTCTGATGTGGAATTTCAAATACTGGAAAACGTTAATGCTCTGTAATACATATGTCTTTTTAAATCCTTTCTTTATGGCAATAATTGGTAATCTGTATAGCTGTGGGTAGATAGCATCAGTTGCGTCCTACTGGGAATGGGACCCACGAGTAGTGCAGAGCAGGTGAAGTCAAGGCATTTTCACAGGTACATGATGTGTGTAGGGTTTTTTGTTTAATATACAGTATACTAGCCATCATGCAACACTCCTTTTGACCATCTATAAGCATAAACTGTGCGCTGTTGTAGTGGCTTCTTCTTCCCCCTGGCCTTCCCCCCACCCCCCCAGCCTCCAGATGCTGGTTTATCTGCTAAATTAAGTTTTGGGAATCTGTGAATTATTGGGCAATCCCGTGTAACCACCAGGCTACTGAGGTAGTTTATAAAATTTAAGGTATTAGGTAAAGAAACTTAAAAATGATGACACACTGCTTTTCTAATTATTTCTGTCTGCTTTTTAAAATTATTTCTGTTAAAGTTTTGCTAAGTATTCATCCAAACATAACTTTTCCCATTACCAACTCTGTACATTCAATGCATAGTGTAAATATATCTGTTTGTCACTTAATCCCGAGTAATATCAGAACTTGGTTGACAATTTTGCTGACATACAAGACAGCCTTGCAAAACTATGGAATTGTGGGAGAGCAAACTGGAGTCTAACAGGAACTGGCAATTGAAAAGTAAATGTGCTCAATGATCAAATGCAAGAGCTTTTTTTTTATTTGTTTTTCACCTTACAAGTCAGTGTTATAATCAGTGTATATTAGGTCCCCAATATGTGACAGGAATGTATAACCTTTGCCCTCCCTCTGCCCCTGCCACTCATGATATGTAATTGACATCAACAAATAGACTGTATCCTGTGATATAATGTAAATATCTTACCGGCAGTGTATCACACACTTCTCAGGTGAAGTCCAGTGAAACTCATATGAAAATGGAATATACTTTCACCAAAGTGTACAAAATGGTTCTGAAAAAGAAATTGCCAAACCCTTGATGGTTTCTTAGTTAGCAGCAAGGATACACAAAGCTGTGTTCTCATTCAGATTGTTTAGGGGAGAATCTAATGAATGCTTCATTTATGGCTTCTAATATGGGTTTACTTATTTTGTAAGGGTGTCATTAGGCATCACAGATTTTTATAATGCAGTTCTGGTGGAGGCTGAATAATGTTTCCCAATAATTTAAAATTTATTTTTTTCCCTTCTCTCTCTCTCTCCCTCCCCCCCCCCCCTTTCTAGTACTGGAGATTGACTTCTCAGAGCTGGTTTTGGAAGAAATCATTGGCATCGGAGGCTTTGGAAAAGTCTATCGAGCTATTTGGGGAGGCAATGAGGTTGCTGTCAAGGCAGCTCGCTATGACCCTGATGAGGACATCAGTGTGACCATTGAGAATGTCCGCCAAGAGGCCAAGCTCTTTGCCATGTTAAAGCATCCCAACATCATTGCCCTCAGGGGGGTGTGTCTGAGGGAGCCCAACCTCTGCTTGATCATGGAATTTGCCCGCGGAGGGTCACTAAATAGGGTGCTGTCGGGTAAAAGGATTCCCCCAGACATACTAGTGAACTGGGCTGTCCAGATTGCCAGGGGAATGAACTACTTGCACGATGAAGCAATTGTTCCTGTTATCCACCGTGACCTCAAGTCCAGCAACAGTAAGTACTATACTTTGAGAGGTCAGCATATTGAGATGGGGTTTCGGAGGGAAGTATCAGTCTAAGATCCTTTGTGAACCACTGTATCTTCTAATGCAATTCCCAGATCAAGTGTTACAAGGAAGTTTAGTTCTTGTCAAGATGGCAATAAGTCTGTTATAGAATTATTTTCCAGAGGGAGTGTGTGAACAGCTTTGCTTTGAATGTGTCTATGAAGTTGGCTGCATGCAGTAAATTTGCAAAATCCTCCAATAGTTTGAGGCTTGGAGTATGGTGTGTTTCGGTAGTACTTTAAGGTAATTTAATGTGTATACTATAGTTATGCCAACTTAAGTGAATGTTTATTGTTACTTCAGTCTATAGCAGTGTGTAGAAAAGTCCCACTGAACTTAAAATGCCAATGAACCCTTCCTCTGATTGTTAGGATAATGAGTCTAGTTAAACCTAAGGGAAGTGTTCCTCAGATTAAATAAATTTTGTGTAAACATTGCTATACTGAATCAAACCTGTATTCCATTTAGTCCAGTGTTGCATCACATTTGACAACTGTGGGAAAAACTGCCCTCAGCCTCAAGTTTCCTGATACCTCATCAGGGCTAACTTTGACTGCAGTATTAGTTTAAGCATAACTTTGAGTATTGCTTATGATTCTCCTGCACTTTCAGGTTTCTAACTTGAATTTAGGGCTGCTTTAATTTAAACTTGAGCTAGCAGGCCTTTTGAGGGATGTGTGCAGAAATTTGAGTGCTGCTCATGGTGGAATTAGCAATGCTTTGCAGCTCTTTTGTAGTGTTGCTGCTGTTCCTCATGCTAATGCTGCAGCAAAGAGTACTTCATAGTTAGTTTTAGGTTTAAGCTTGGAAGCATAATGTTTCTTTCAGGATTTGTTAACATCAACTATAACACTAGATGGTCTCTTTATAAAGAATCAGTTTTGGACTCTTTGTTTTTTTGCCTCCGTGAAATGCCATAGTAGTGAGTTATACAGCTAAATTAATAATTGTATGACAAAGTGTTTTTTTTTTTATTATTGTCACCAAACAAATTGCCCTGAATTTGCCCTTGGTCCAATGTTTTGAGACATGGAGAAAAGAATTTCCTAATTTGTCTTCTCTACTGTTGATTATTTTATATATTGCTATTGTTCCCCCATTTTTCTCTCTCTTCTAAGGTAGACAATTTTAATTTTTATAGTAAAAATATTCCCTTGTCTTGGTGGACATGTTTAGCATGTATTTCATGTTTTTAGCCTGGTGCTGACTAATCTTTTTTTTCTTTGGTGTTGGTTTTCCCCAGTTAAAAAGGGGAAAAAACCATCATTGGCTTATAACACAAGGAAACAATGAAACTTCATCACTCAATATTTGCAAAACACTTATGATAATTCAAAAGTTCAAAAGAGCATAAAAAGCATCGACTCCCCCCCCCACATGCCTTTTTGCTTTACCTTTAATTTGCTCAGTCTAAAATATACTTAAAGCATTTCTAGATATACAAGAATGGAAGCACCTCAACCATGCATGGACCGCTACCTAGCTAGAGGGATAGAAAAGCAAAAAGCAAACTGGACCCAGTTAGACACCATCCATGTTGTGAACAGCAAGAAAAAATGTTTCC